GAAAAGTGTAAAAACTATCATGGTGGTGAGGCAAAAAAGGATATGACCCAGAAGAAAAATGAAAATGCACTTCAACGGAGAGCCGTCCACTTTCTCCTTCATACCATCTTGCGAGCAGCAGAGAAGGCTGGAACTGCCACACGGTTGTTTCCTGACTCGGTGGTGATCCCTCCTAGTGCACAAGTGCCTGCACGGGCACCGTGTGTCCTACAGCTCCATGAGCATCCACAGGCCAAAATTTTTGATATGGAATATTTTTTATGTTCTTTTTTTTGTTTTTTATGAGGAAGATCAGCCCTGAGCTAACATCCGTGCTAATCCTCCTCTTTTTGCTGAGGAAGACCTGCTCTGAGCTAACATCTATTGCCAATCCTACTCCATTTTTTTTTCCCCAAAGCCCCAGTAGATAGTTGTATGTCATAGTTGCACATCCTTCTAGTTGCTATATGTGGGATGCTGCCACAGCATGGCCTGACAAGTGGTGCGTCAGTGTGTGCCAGGGATCCGAACCGGGGCCGCCAGCAGCAGAGCACGTGCACTTAACCGCTAAGCCATGGGGCCGGCCCTGGAATATTTTTTAAAACCACCAAACCCTATGTAGCCTCAAGGATCACTCTTCTACCCCAAACACTAGAGCTGAGTGGACCATCAAGCCTTCCTTATCATTTCTGTAAAAAATGTCACCTCCCAAGCCAGAGTTGTTTCCTGGGATAGCTGCTCAAAAATTGTTGACAACTGCCTGTCCTTTGGACTTTAATATTCAGAGCCACTAATATGGTCTTTCATAACATTTTGCTGCAATTAATCACACATGGGGCAGGGAAAATAGCGGTGATATTTACTACAAATAAGAATTTGCATAGAAAAGGCACGAATGACCAACAAATAGAAAGATTTAAGAAAGGTTGGCTGTTTTAGCTCAAATTCATGAGAAATCACAATTTTGTCCTAATAAATATGAATCAGTGATGAGAGAAATGGAAGAAGGGCTTGTGGCTGGGATACCTCACAGTACTTAGAGTCTGTACTAAGAAGCCAGACTGGGGTGCAAAGTCATCCCAGAGTTCAGCTGTCTCATCAGACATGCTCTCAATGTATCTGTGAATTTTTATTCTGTGTATTTCAGTTGTACTTCTCAAGCAACACCACATCAACTTCTCTGGGGAAAATATTTTCTGTTGAAAATGCAGAACAGATTTAAAATATTTTGAGTGAATTTGGGTTTATGTTGGAGATAGATATACAAAACTCATAAAAAGTCCGTTTGCCTTCCTTTTCTTTTCTCAGGGTGAAGAGAGGGATCTAGGGGAAACACTGAACACCCCCTAATGTTTCCTCTTCTCTCCTGCCTGAACCCACCACTCAGCCCCTCTCACGAGGCTGAACCGTCTGCACAACGAGCCTGGAGAGGAACCGAGAGGACCAGAGCCCATGGGGGCCTTTTGCTTTTGTGAGCAGTCAGAACCATTTCCACCAAGACTGACCACCTCTGTGGCTGCCATACAGACCTCCTTGGAAGGGAAAAAAAGGAGAACTTGGCTTCAAAGTGTTGAGGGATAGCCTTCTTACCCAACTCTATTTGTTTTGGAGAAGGGCGGAAACGAGAAGTTTGCGTTTGAGCCAACTATAATTAATTCCTGCAGTAAAGCCCAAACCACGTTAGTTGTCTCATCTTCTGTCTTCTGTTTTCATGTTTCACTTGCTTCACTTTAGCTATTTGCCTGAGACAGGCAGACTATTCGTGTCTCCACAGGGCAGAGGAGCCCTGAAAGGAAGACCCAGGGCCCAAGCTTCGTGGGCCAAGTTCTCAGGCTCGTTTGCAGGATGACTTGGTAATAAGAGCAGATTCTGTTCAGCAGCAGTAACAGTAAAGACCACAGTGCCTTTTCTGTACGTTAACTCTTTCGAAACCCCACGCACACAGAGAAGCAGGGCTGCATCGTTATCCCCTTTTATGATGCAGGAAACAGACTTTTCTGAGTGGGGGATTGAGTGGCTTTTCTGTTTTCAGCACTGAGCTATAAAACTGTTAGGAATACAAGAAGAGCAAGAGACCTGGTCCCAGTTATTTCTACAGGAGTTCTCCATCTAATTGGAGAGTCAAGATTATTATAGAGGAAGCACTTATTGGGCAGTCAACGGCCTCACACACGAGGTTACATAGGTGCTAAGTGGTTTGGAGATACTCTAATGGATAGTACCCAGGGAGAGACTGCACGAGGACAGAGTAGTTGAGGTCTTCACTGAAGACTTGAACTGTATTTTGAAGGCTGGGTAAGACTTTTACAAGCAGAGGAAGTGGGAGGGGATGCATCCAGGGCACATGATATGACAGAACCCAGATGTCCATTACACACCTCATATGAGATGGAGAGAAGCCCAGCTTACTCAGACCAAACGCTGGGGAAGGAATCATGGCGAGACAGGATTTCCTTGGTTCCTAAGTCTGGGAATGGGTCTGAGAGTTTCTATCCTCTCCCTGCCTCACAAGAGACTCTGTGTGGAGACACGGCCTAGTGTGTGGCATTCTTTCCACTGTCCTTCCAGCACTGCAGAAACAGAATGTGAGATTCTCCATTTGCAGCCTTGTTGCAGTTAGGGACCTGAGTCTGGTTTGTGTTCAGCAGATTAGACACCCTCGAGTGGGCTCTGGGGCCTAAGTGAGGCGTGGGCCCCAGCTGGCTGCTCTGGCAGGCGCAGTTGTGGGGGTGTCTGTCGGGTGGAGGGCCCAGGACAAGCCAATGGCCGGGAGGAAGTTGAGCACTGGGCCCCACGCCATCCATTTGCTGCTGCAGATTGCAACAGTGTGATTTGGGTCTGGAACCAGGAGAGAAGTTGTGGCCTCTGGGCCGATGGAGGCAGAAGAGAGGTTCAGAGCTGGAAGCTTCCAAATCTGAGGAGAGGCAGAAGCTTCCTCGGTGGCCTGGTTCTGAAGCGTGGCTTTGGGAGTCATTTGTGAACCTTGTGTCTGTTTCCTCAACTCTTACATCATACTGTAAGCTGTTGAAAATCCTGTAATAAATCTCTTCCTGCTAATACTAAGCTACAGTGGATTTGTTCTCTGCAGCAGAACCCTGCTGATACAGCCTAACCCTTGTCTGACACGTCATGAGCAGTAGTGCATATTTTCAGCAACTGAAGATAAACAGAGTCGTACATGAAGCATGTTGCTCCCCTTGGAAAAGAGAAGCCAGTTTTATTATGAGACCTCCTAACTAAATTCATCACGGGAGCTGAGACCTACCGATGCTTGGCCAGACACAGCTTCCCAGATGGCCTCTGAGGTGTGCAACCAGAACTTCTGTAGAATCAACACAATAATCATCCCACTCTTGGTTTCTCATAGTTGGTTTGGTGCCAGGATAATTATATACTTCCCAGAAGGCAACCTCCTAGGAGAGAGGGAAAATGAATTTCCAACTGATAATTAATCTTGTCTTTTGCATCTAATTTAATCACTAAAGAAGTAAAGTTCTCCCACTCTTTCATTACCAAAGCATAGGTTGATCTGTCTGGGATTCTGTGGGGTACAGTCAAATTCTGGACAGAAGTGGGGTGTCTGGTGTCCTTCCTCCATGTTGCGCAGCAAACGAGACTCTAGCCCCGTGAAGGAAAAGAGAGGAGAACCCCAGGGCAGGGAAGTGCGTCCTCCCGGTTCCCGCCGGCCTTGGGTGTGTGCACGCTGTGTTGGCACACATGCCCTGGCGCATGGTGGTACTAAATGTGTGAGCAACGGGTCTGGTGAGGAAAGCACGCCACTCAATGGTCCACAGCATGGGGAACACTATCGCTGTCTTCCAGCGTTCGCTGGGCTGCCTCCATGATGTCTCTCCCTTTATGCCTAGTGGGTTCTCAGCTTTTGCTGAACTGTATTGCGTGTTCAACTCTCCTTGCCACAAACACTGCCCTAGTTGGGACCTCATTAGCTCTCCTGGCCCGGACTATTGCCGTGGTCCCTCACTCTCTCCAGCCTCCGGGTGCTTTGAAGAATTATTCATTGTTCAGGTTCTGTCTCTACCCTTAGGCTGTAAGCTCCCTGGAGTCAGGGACCATGTCTCTTTTTTTTTTTTTGAAATTTTTTTAATTTTTTTAAATTTTTTGTTTATTGCAGTAACATTGGTTTATAACATTGTATAAATTTCATGTGTACATCATTATACTTCTATTTCTGCATAGATTACATCATGTTCACCACCCAAATACTAATTACAACCCATCACCACACACGTGCCGAGTTATCCCTTTGGCTCTCCTCCCTCCCCCCTTCCCCTCTGGTAACCACCAATCCAATCTCTGTCTCTACGTGTTTGTTTATTGTTGTTATTATCTACTACTTAATGAAGGAAATCATACGGTATTTGACTTCTTCCCTTCTCCCTCTGACTTATTTCACTTTGCATAATACCCTCAATGTCCATCCATGTTGTCTTCCCTGGGATCTCTTGCAAAGTGCATCCCATGAAATAGGAGTGTTGATAGAAGAGAAGTGAGCTGCAAAAGAGAAAAACTCCAAAAAGCAAAACAAAGCAAAATAGTTAGCAGTCAGGAGCAAGGAGAGAAAGTTGGGGGCAAATTTCATCTTAATTTTTTAAAACTCACTTTTTGTCTTGTTTTTGTTTGTTTGTTTTTCAAACAGTGGCATTCCATAATGGAAAAATCTACCATACCTCACCAAATAGTAATTTCTTTGTTTAAGAGTTCGAGCAGTGGCTGCGGCCCACCTGTCCTGGGTGTTATGACAGGAGCCTCAGCTGTGATGTCACAGTCGCTCCGTGGTCTTTCTGGCCCATACACCCAGAGGTGGGCACCTCTAGAGCCACTCTTTGCTGTGTGAGCTTAGCCCCCAGGGTTTCCAATCTTTGATAAGCATTTAAAAAAACCCTGTGGAGCTTTAGAAACCCTTGAAGTCCCAGGGTGGGAGCCAGGCATCAGTATTTTTCAAGACCTCCAGGTAATTCTGTTGTGCAGCAAAGCTTGAGGACCACTGGGGCCTCGGCCTGATGGTAGAAGCTTCACTGAGGTCGCCTGTAGGAAATCAGAAGTATGAACAGTGGACTCGGACCCAGGCTCCCCCATCTTGGGAACCTGCATATTCAAGAGGTCAGATGGCCACGCAGAGGGCGCTGGCGCCCATTGCCGTAACGGACAAGCTGGCCCGTATGCACTCTGGTCAGTGCAGGGAGGAGGTTCCAAGGCTCACTGGGGGGAGAGGAGACCACCGTGAAAACAGACCTGTTGTGGGGGGAGGGACACTGACTGTCACACCATAGGCGTCCAAGTGTGGCCCATCTGTCAGTCACTCAGATTCCTTCTTTTGCTGGGATCATCCTACTTGCTACTAGGAAAGCACCAAGCTGCCCAGTGTCATGGGATTCCCACATCTTTGCCTCTTGAGTAATTAAGATAATAAGCAGAAGGCAAACCCACGAATTATTCTCAAGTAATGTGCCAAGAATGAGGGATTCCAAGGTTAATAATAGTTACTGTCCTTGAGAGTCTCTTAGATTAGTAGGGGAGTAGGAATATGTAAATAAATGCAGTACAATGTGATAATTCCATTGGAAAAGTTAGTATGTTACATGCTCAAGTAGTGGTAAAAATAAGTGCTAGCTTATCTTCCCGAGATGAACCCAGAAGTGTGCTGCGCACCTTACGTGGTCTTCTTTTTCCTGTCCCACGCACCTTGCGCATCCTGCAGATGAGGGAGTTGCAGTTCAAAGGTTACATGACTTGCCGAAGTCTCGCAGTTAGTGAGAGGCCGAGCTCCACCTGCTTCCAGAATACAAGGACCCATCCACTGCTCTCTTGCCTCCCGCTGCAATGGCACAGGCAGCAAGTCAGTGGAGGGTTCGTGGAAAGTTCCTGAAGGGAGAGGAGCCTGGATGGATTAATAGGAGCCCCTGGGAGAAGGATGATCTTAGGAAGAAAGCCAGTGCATCTGTCTTGTGCACTGCTGAGTGCCAGTGTCTGGCTCGTAGTAGGCAATGGATGTGCAGCGGGATGATTAAATGGAGAGGATTCCATGGGGGCATGAGCGCGAGGAGGTGTCAAAGAACTGCAAGCAGCTCTGTGTAGGTGCGGTTCAAGCTCAAGGGAGGCTGGGCTCCTGATGCAGCTGGAGAAGCAGGTGAAGGCCATGTCATTGCTGGTTTGTGTGGGCCTTAAAGAGTGCTGGCTTTATCCTATAGGTGATGGACTCCACCGAGGGGTTTAAAGCAGAGGCGTGACATGGCCATATTGGCTAGCTTTGTAGATGGATCACCTTGATATCTGGATGGACTTAAGGGAAGCAGAATAGGGGACGGGGACTAGCAGGAAGACTCTTGCACTGCTGTGGGCCTGAATAGAGACAGGGACAGGGGCACGAATTGGGGGGAACACAGATGTGAGCTAGGGAAGGGGCTTTGTATTGTCCATTAATATGCTCCTAATCTGGTACATAGAAGGGGCTGGATGACAGTGCACAACTGTCACTCCATTCAGACCACGGAAGAGATCAGGATACATTTCCAGAATATTTGGCTCTAACCATACATGTGACAAGAGGGTGACATGTCCATTGCAGTGCTCCACTCACTTAAAAAGAAGGTGACCTGCACTTCCACTCCTAGGTACACCTAAGAGAACTGAGAACACACATCCACCCAAAAACTTGTACACATATGTTTGTAGCAGCATTATCCAAAATAGACAAAAGATGGAAACAACCTAAATGTCCGTCAATGGACAAACGGATAAACAAATTGTGGTATATCCATATAATGGAATAGTATTCAGCGTTAAAAAGGAAGGCAGTACTGATATATGTTGTACATGAACAAGGATGAACCTTGGAAATGTATATATTAAGTGAAAGAAGACAGACACAAAAGGACACAGAATATGTGATTCCATTTATATGAAATATCCAGAAGAGGTAAATCCATAGATAATAGAAAGTAGATTTGTTGTTGCTGGGGGTTGGGAGGAGGGAGAAACAACGTGTGCAGGGTTTCTTTTTGGAGAGATGAAAATGTTCTGAAATTAGATGGTGGTGCTGGTTGCACAACTCTGTGAATATACTAGAAACACTGAATTATATACTTTAACAGGGTGAGTTTTATGGTATGTGATGTATATCTCAATAAAACTGTTATTTGAAAAAAAGAAAGTGAAAGCCTTGTTTATGGTCAAAAAAATATGAGGTGATTTTCTTTGATGGCAAGTTGGGGAGATGTATTCTCAGCGATATTTTATGTTGCTTTCGGGGCTTGTTTTCTGGAGGTCTGTAAGCACAGGCAGATGGTACCACAGGCCAGTGCACTGTCTGCCTCTTCCCTCTGTCCAGAGTTTCCCCAGAGAGTGAGTCACAGGGCTGGGACAGGAGCAGGTTGGGGAAATAGAGGGTCCGACGGCAAACTTCATTCCTGCCTGGCGCCCCTCTCTCGCAGCAGAGAAGCACCCACTAATCACCTCGTGCCCAAGGCCTCAGACCTTTTCACGTCCTTGTCCTCGGGGGGCTTCACTGCAATGTGACATAAAGGATGAGGGGTTTCCAAGCAAATGTGGCGACCACAATCCTCTGAATTTTCCTCTTCCCATCGTGAAATGAGAGATCCCATAAGATGCTCCTCAGCTCCTGCTGAGCTATCTAAGACTGAAAGTCTGTGACTCCTGGGGCTAAGACGACTCAGGAGTGGGGGATGCAGCTGTGATGGCAGGAGGGCAGACTGTAGGAGGCCCCCAACACTGGCCGACAGAGTTGATTCAGGTTCGCTGTCCCCTGAAAGGCAGAAGAATTCCTTCCTGGAAGGCCCATCTCACCTCCTTCTTCTGGGAGACCTGAGCCACTGTCTGAACCAAAGGGTGTGATTGGAGTCAGTAGATGCCCCCTGCTCTCTTTGTTGTGTTCAGGAAATGGCCACCAGAGACTGAAGCCACATCAGCTGGGCCAGAGCCTGAATGGTGCCCAGGTGGGAGTCTGTGGAATCTGGCCCTGGGAGCACATTCCCACTGGGAAGCCTTGTCAGTGTCTTGGTGTTGGCAGGGCAGTGTATAAGGGCAGGCTGCCTCTCAGCAGGGAGGTAGAGAGTACACACTGACGGGTGGAGAATCATTTAGGTATTGGTAGAGAGCACAGATAGAATGAAGTAGACACTAAGCTCTATTATTGTGAAAAAATTATCCACTCCCTCCGGTTAATTCAGTATTCTTTATGCAGCCTTTCCATGTTAAAAAAATTAAATGTACACACAAGTTTCAAAATATCTGTGAGAATAGAAATTTTATAGTCACACCTTCTTTTACTCCTTGCTGATAGTTAATATCCACAATGACCTTACAACCAAATCTAGTCATTTTCTTCATCCAGAAGCATAGAAAACGGATATGTTGTAGTTTTGAATATAAAAATGGGTAAGAGGAGGCAGAAGGACAGGGACCCTGAAAATTACCTTTTGGGGACGCTCAGAAGCAGAGATCAATAACACATGTAGTGAATCAGCAGATGAGATAAAGCTACCTGCAAGATCTTTTCTACAGTAGGTCCGTTACTGCCTCTCGAGGGCCTTCTAGAGGACCCCCCGGCCACACCCGCTCAGGCTGGGACCTTCTCCCCGTGGACTTGCAGCCAGGTGTTTGGAGAAGTTTTAGCTACCCCCTCAACTCGGGCCCTAGACCACAGCTGGTTATACAATTCTTTGAGAATGTGACTCTGCAAATAAGACTCAGCCCAGCCAACACGAATTTTAACAAAACCCCAGCACCATGGACCCTCCTCCTTCCTGGAGCCTCACTATGATGGGTGTGTGAGGACAGGAGGCAGCTCAAGGAAGACACACAGGGCAAAGCGGCTCTGGCATGTGGCTGAGACCATGGCCAACGGCCGAGTGAAGCAGACCTCTGTGGCAGTAGTAGCCATCCAACAAGAAGCAAATTGTATCAAGTTCAAAGACTAATGCAAATTCATACTTTGAGACTAAAGATATTTATGAAAATAAGCAAATGAATGACGAAGCTAGACTTGATCCTTTAAAGGCATCTGTTAAAATTAAAAACACTCTTTCAGGGGAGGGAGGGAGGGATAAATAGTGGAGCACAGAGGATTTTTAGGGCAGGGAAGCTACTCTGTATGACACAGTAATGGCGGCTACAGTCATTATACATTTGTCCAAACCCACAGAATGTACACCAGCAAGAGTGAACCTTAACGTAAACTATGGATTTTAGCGAATAAGAACATCTCAATATTGGTTCACCAATTGTAACAATGTCAACCACACTAAGCAAGATGTCAAGGGGGAACTGTGTGCAGGAGGGGAGGGGGCATATGTGAGCTCTCTGTATTTTCTGTTCAGTTCTTCTGTAAACCTAAAACTGCTCAAAAAAGAAGTCTATAAACTAAAAAAAAATACTCTTTGGCAAGATATAGCAATTTAATTTTTTTAGAAATAATTGCCTTTGTAGAGTGGAATCCTTTTGTAAACAATGATGCTAGGAATAGAGAACTGATGCCCACCATGTTGGCAAACTGGGAGAACGGGTCTTTTTTTTCTTTGATGGTGGTGATGGGCACATGTATAGGACACTAGAGTAAGATGCTGTATTTCCCACACACTTTAACACCAGCAAATTCCCCTTGGGTGTTTGTCTGAGTGTAGTTGGCAGACCCATGCATTAGATGTAATATGAATTAAGAAGTGCAAATCCTGGCCCTACCTGAAACTTGCCAGACTGGGGCTGGATCTCAGAAGCCTGCATTTGTAACCAACACTACAGGTAACTGTTAGCCACACTACAGTCTGAGACCCACTGCAGCGTTATTTCCAGCACACAGCCCAGTGTCTGCATTTGGTAGGTGCTCAATACAGAAGTGAATTTATGGAAGAGGCATGGAACCCCAGGCCGTTGAACAGGATCATTACAAGAAGTTGGGTAAGGGGCTGCCCGATGGCGTAGTGGTTAAGTGCGTGCACTCCGCTGCGGTGGCCTGGGGTTCGCAGGTTCGGATCCTGGGTGTGCACAGACGCACTGCTTGTCAAAGCCATGCCGTGGCGGTGTCCCATATAAAGTAGAGGAAGATGGGCACGGATGTTAGCCCAGGACCAAGCTTCCTGAGCAAAAAAAGAGGAGGATTGGCATCAGATGTTAGCTCAGGGCTCGTCTTCCTCACAAAAAAAAAAAAAAAAGTGGTTGGGCAATGTGAGATTCCTTCGTGATCTAAAACTACCTATAGTTTATGCAAGCATGGGAGTAGAAAGGCGATATGTGCTTTATTGATAACCCACAGGAAAGCACACGGAATGATCTAGAGTTTTATAATCTGGCTGAATTCATGAGAGGAATCAGGGAAAATACTCGGGACTGGCCCACCTTTCCAGCAGTCACTTACTAAAGAGACTATGGCCCCTCCAGAGTGAGGCTGTTAGGTTCCAGTTGCAAACCTGAAGTTGTCTCCAGTGCTCTAAACCAAACTAGATTGAGGGATGCTGGAATAATATACTGGCTACAAGGTTTTCAAAGTTTCTAGGGTCACTCACTGTGATGAACTATTCATAAGAAGATAAGGTGGACTTGACAACAAAGAGCTCAAAGAGAAATCTAACAAGGGACTGTTCACCACAATTGATAACTGACAGCTTACTTCAGATGTGTTTGTTTGCTTATTTACTCACCAAATGTTTATTGAGCACCTACTGTGTCCCAGGCACTAGGGATACACCTGGGAATAACAAGACAAACAAGGTCTCTGTTCTCATGGAGCTTATAGAAGGAGACAGAGAATAAACAGCAAAATGAATTAATACCTTTGGATAGTGATAAGAGCTGAAGAAAGTGAAACAGGAGTCATGGCAGCAAGTGGAAATGCTATTTAGATAATGTGGTCAGAGCAGGGCCTCTGGGGAGGTAATATTTAAACTGACATCTGAATGACATAAAGAGCCAACCCTCTGAAGATTTAGAGCAGCAGCAGCAGCAACAGCAAGTGCAAAGGCCCTGGGGCATATTCTGGGAACAGAAAGAAGGTCAAGGTGATTGGAACATGGTCAGTTGGAGAGTAGAGTATAAAAGGAATTTGGAGAAGAAAGGAGTCAAGATTGTGTTCCAAGTATAATGGGAAACCATTAGAGGTTTTAAGCAGGGGAGTAATACATTCAGATTTAATTTTTGCAAGAACATTCTGCTAATTCTTCAGGTGGGTAGTAGGTTCACAAGTGTTATTTTATTATTGTGCTTCATAAACTATAAAATATAATGTTATAATATTGACAACATAGAGTGTTTTACAAGTAAAAACACTCTGTCTTCCGTATAGATAATAGTTTGTATAGGGGTAAGAGAAACATCAGGAGACCTGTGGAGGGATCAGTTAGAGAAGTTACGGAGGGCTCAGACTTGGATGGCAGTGACGGAGATGGAAAGAAGCAGACAGATTCACAAGGTGTTTTGGAGACAAAAAGACAGGACTGACTTACTGATGAACTAGATGTGGAGGAATGATGAAAAAATGAGAAGAACCAAGGATAACTCAGATTTTTGTCTTGAACAGCTAGGTGGATGGTGAAGGTATTTACTCAGATGAGGAAGACTGAGGTGAAGGAAAATTAGGGAACATGTTTAGGGGAAAGACTTCAAACTTCTGTTTTGACCATGCTAAGTTTGAGATGCCTATTCTTTTTCTAAAGGAGATGTGAAGTAGGAAGCTAGACACAGAAATCTGTTACACAGCATTGAGATCAGGGCTAGAGACATAAATGATAAAGTGATTGGAATAGGTATGGTAAGTGTACAGACTCAGAATCTCAGTTTCTAACTGGTGATTCTAGTCCATTTATATTTATTGCCATTTCTGATACATTTGGATTTATTTGTACCTTCTTATTTTCAGCTATTTTTACCATGTCTTTTCTTTACTCCTTTTTTCTTTATTCTGTAGGGTTCATTTTATTCCCCTTTGTCCTCTTTACTGGTTTGAAAGTCATAGTTTTATTATATTTTATTTTTATGCTTTTAATGTTTACCTTTAAATTTTTATTGTGGCAAAATATACAAAACATAAATTTACCATTTTAACCATTTTTAAGTGTACAGTTCAGCAGCATTAAGTACATTCACATTGTTGTGAATGGTTATCACTTCTGTCTATTTCCAGAAATTCTTCATTATCCCAAATGGAAACTGCAGCCATTAAACAATAACTCCCCACTCCCTCCACCCCCCAGCCCCTGGTAACCACTATTCTATTTTCTGTCTTTATGAATTTGATGATTCTAGGTACCTCATACAAGTGGAATCACACAATACTTGTCTTTTTCTATCTGAAATATTTAACATAGTGTTTTCAAGGTTTATCCACATTGGAGTATATATCAGAATTTTATTCTTTTTTTATAGCTGAAGATGTATATACCACATTTTGTTTATCCATTCATCTGTTGATGGAAACTTGCGTTATTTCCACCTTTTGACTATTATGAATAGTTCTGCAGTGAACACTGGCGTGCAAGTATCTGTTCAAGTCTCTGCTTTCAATTCTTTTGAGTATATACCTAGAGTGAAATTGCTAGATCATATGGTAATTCTATTTTTAATTTTCTGAGGAATCATCAAACTGTTTTTTTGCAGTAGATGCACCACATTACATTCTTAACAGCAATGCACAAAGGTTCCAATTTTTCCACATTCTCACCAACACTTATAATTTTGTTTTTTTTGACAGTAGCCAGCCTGATGGGTGTGAAGTGGTATCTCATTGCATTTTGATTTGCATTTCCATAATGGCTAGTGATATTGAACATCTTTTCGTGTGTTCCTTGGCCATTTATGTATCTTCTTTGGAGAAATATCTGTTCAAGTTCTTTGTCCATTTTTGAATTAGGTTGTTTGGTTTTTTATTGTTGAGTTGTATGTGTTCTTTATATATCCTGGATATTAATCCCTTATCAGATAAATGATGTGAAAATATTTTCTCCCA